CACCAAGACAATGCAATCTCGCACACAGCCAAAAAACAAGGCAGTATTTAGGAAGAAGAAACGTGGAGTTATTGGACCATCCTCCATATAGTCCTGATCTAAGTCCTAATGATTTCTTTACGTAGACTGCATGGTCAAACTTTCCAGTCACCAGAAGAAGCAGCTGACGCATTCAAAAATGCCGTTTTGGATCTGCCAGCAAACGAGTGGAATAAGTAACTCGAAAATTGGTTCGAGCGCATGCAGATGTGTATTAATCTTCGTGGAGAAAACTTCAAAAAACAATAAAGTCATTTAAAACTACCTACCGTGTTGTTTTATTTCCATATGCAAAACTTGAAAGACATCCCTCGTACTTATCTATCAGGTCCTTTTAATTGACAAAAATCCACTACTTTTAGCTAGTGAAGTTAAATTCGAGGGCATACATTCATTTCTCTATCATGCGGAAGTTAAAAACCGTTTTCTAGAAAAGGAGTATAAAAGCTAACCAAACTCTCTTTTTTACAGGTAAGCAGTCTGTTTGTTACAACCAATGCGTGTGAGGACGTAAGCCAGGTAAGTACATTTATTCCTATTTAGGCTTGTCATTAGGTACTGAGATCGACAACCCACATTTAGGACAAATAAATTGTTTAAACATTTTGTGAGAAGGCATTTGTATCCATCGCACCTAGAAAGTCAACATCATTCGTGCTATCAAATGTGTATGGAGAGGTAATATTAATTAATGCAAGTTATAAATAGTTGTTAGTCATGATGTTATGTGATCCTATATTTGTATGTCAGTGACTATCTGGTTTGAACAATATATCCTAGTCCCCGCCATCTATACAAATACATCTTCGTGTGTGAGTGAATAAAATTATACATTGAGTCATTCAACATTATAAATTCCAGTTAATTTCTCGGAATCTGTTTACTAACGAATAAGGAACGCCAAAGAAATCATCGTAGTTTCCTCCACACGATATATTATTATTTAAATTAAATTATCATATATAAATTCCTCAGGTTGCTTAATTTGCCTCATACAGTTACCACATAATGTGACTAACTGGAAACATTATTGTAGATTAGTCGGAAATCTGAGAACTAAGTTGACCCGAAAATAGCAGAAATTAGGATATTATTAGTATTTTCTCTCTAATTTGATGACTACCCAATCAAGCACGGATGATTCAAAAGAGGAAATGGCGAGTTTTTAGAAAAACTTATCGACCGGCTACACACTAAAATCTCATACTTTATACCAAGGGCGGATTTAAAGAGGGTGAACGTCCAAGTTTGCCATTTTTTTCAAGAAAATGATATACAGTAATGGACAAAAGTATATAGACAAATTAATATTGTGCTGTATTTCTTTTTTAACTTGTTTTATTAATACACCAACCTGTATACATGTTCGTTATAGCCTAATACTCACTCATACATAAATAAATCCATTACTACCCTTCAATAAAAAAATAATTGAAAAAACTGGAACTATGAAGGACAACAATATATAGACAAAGCAACAATTATAGAAAAAAGCAAAGCTCATTGAATTATAGAAAACCAACCATGTTTGTGTTAATATTTTGTAGCATGACCATTATTATCAATCACCGCCTGACATCGTCTCGGCATAGATTGTAGAAGTTTCTTGATATAAGATTCATCAATCTGTCTCTACTTTTGCTCTAAAGCGGCAAAAAGTTCATCCTTGCTTGAATAATTTGTATCTTGTATTTGCTTATATAAGTATTCCCATAGATTTTCAATGGGGTTTGTATCGGGATACTGTGAAGGCCATTTGAGAACTGGTATTTGTTCATCCAGAAAGAATTTCTTTGCGAGATTTGAAGTGTGCTTCAGGTCATTATCGTGCTGGAAGATTGATCTTGAGGGCATATTGTCTTCCATATAGGGTAACATGAGATATTTTAGTATGTCTCTGTATACAAACTTATCCATAATGCCATCTATTCTATGCAAAGGTCCCATCCCAAACCCCGAAAGCACCCCAAACCATAACAGACCAGCCTCCATGTTTGACAGTGGGCAAAGTGTACTGGGGTTTGAATCTTTGTCCACTAGGACGTCTAACGTGATCCAAACATATTGAACTTGGATTCGTCACTGAAACATACCCTCTTCCAGCCACAGATGCTCCAATCAAGATGCAACCGTGCAAATTGTAATGG